CCCGTCGTTGGAGGTCGGAGCGCGGAAGGAGCCGGTGCCTCGTCCTGGGCGCCCGCTGTACGGCAGCCAGGGAGATGCTGGAGATCTTGGCCTATCCCGCTTAGGAAGTGTTTCTGCGGGGCCTTAGTGGACAACTCAAAGCCTCCCCGAGAGCTATAGGGTGTGCCAGTGGGGTGGGTTTTCATGTTCTAAGCTAATTACTTTTTGTTCTGTAATAGCTAAGCTCTCCTCGGGCAATCATCTCTCGTACTGCTGCGATATTTGGAGCAAAGTGTGCTCTGCTTCGTGGTTGATCATTTGCCTGAGGAGTGGCTTAGGAACACGAGAGACAAACGCTGCGAGAGCTTGAAGGTGACGCCAGGCACTAAGTAAGGGTTGTGTGTCTGATGTCAATGGAATGTTACAGAAATTAAAAAAAAAAAAAACCCACCCAAACAACTGCAGGGGTTACAATTCTAGGTCTGCAAACTTGGGGAAGATGAGCAGAAAAAGCCTGAAGTGCTTGTCCCTTTCCTATGTTAATGCTAACATTTTGGAAAATTTCATAGTTAGCAAAGCTTTTTTCAATACCAAATCTGTGGCATAAAGAGCACATTTTCTTCGGTTAATTTTTGGCCCCGGGCCTTAAATGCTGTGGAGATAAGAATCAGCATTTTGAACCTGATGTTCTGTGAGTAATGTTTCAGACTTGAGGTCAGATTTATCTGCTGTTCCTGAGGTGTGTTCCATAGTTGTGTGTCAGGCTGCTGGTTGCTGCAGGCTGTTACACCGGGGCATGTTGCATATCTGAAGTGTAACCCAGAGCTTACAGATCTTAATAACAGAGGCCAGCTTGATGGTCTGTAGTTAATTGGTGATAATATGGGTATGGTGAGGAGATGGCGGTGTGTCTCGGTTTGAAAAACTGCTTTTACCTGCCTCTGCTGCCTGAGTTTGTGGATTGTGTTTCACATGACTGAGAAGGCAGTCGGCTTTCCAAGTGTCACTGTTTGGGAAAAATGTCTATATTGATTTTTTTCCAACACAGAATTGTTAAACTGTGCTTATGGCAACTGAAAAAATACTGACATACACAACTCTTTCTGCCTTCTTCCTGCCAGGTGGAAACAGGCATGCCTGTTCAGGAGCAGAGGTAGTCCTGATCCCAGAGGGTGGGGACCCTGGTGTCACCATGGCACACGATACAGTGACATGTAATATGTTCGCCAGAGCTAGGGAAGGATCTTCCCATCATCTTTTCTCCTCCTCCTGTTGAGTAGTTGGTACTTGGAGGATGTTCATGTCTTGTCTTGGATTCTGTTTACATCTCAAAGCTTGCTCTTGGCGACTGTAGCAGAGCTAATATGTAATCAGTAATTTGTCTTATATGAGGAGACAATTTATTCCTGGAAGTATAAGTAGAGATGTCTGCTTTGTTCTGATTTCTTTTCCCCTGGCCCCCTTTATATTTGGAGTTTCTCCAGAGAGCTTATCTTTTTATCTAGGTGCAATTTTGTTTGTAATATCAAGTTCCGTGTAGCGAAGCTAACATGTCTACATTGATAATGCCAGCGTCCATGTGAACATATTTTCAGTGTCCTTGGGAGGTGGGAAGGGGGATCTGCTTCTACTGGATTTTGATTCTTGCTGTGTTTAGTGATTTTTGGTACACTTGTTGGGTCTAGGTGGCATGTTTATGAAATCTTGCAGAGGAATGTGCATGATCATCTCTTTCTTTGGAGGAAATAAGAGCTTTCCTTTCAGTTCCTCCTTCTACACACATCACAAACAGGAGAATTTTTCTTTCAGTCTTGAAGCATTTCAGTTCTGTAACCCAAGGAAAAAAGAGTAGATAAGATATCTTCTGAAAATAACTACTTAAATGCACTATTTTCTGTAGATCTTGGGTTAGCCTTGATGTAAATGGATCACAGTTACTCAGAGTCATTCCGTATTGGGATGGGCAAAGCTGCTGTGGGAATTTCATCTCACTTGCCCTTCCAACTTAGGGATGCTCACAGGCATGGTGTGTTTCGGAGGTGACGTG